ACTAGCATCTAATTTTATTGACTAATATTGAGTGAATTGGTTTGAAACTAATCAAATTAACTCTCAAATCAATAAAATTTATTGTAATGAGATGAAATTAGGATAAAATCTAGTTATACCATACAATTCATCATATATTCCTTTCGTTCAAAAAAGAATATCACACTTCACTATTTAAAAATTACGGAAATTTTATTTGTTTGTGTGTTATCATTTATATGTATAACTTATCTTTAATTTCTACATATAATAAATTTAAGGAATAAAATTTTGTAATTTTTTTCAAGAAGATAATGTATTTTATGAGGAAATGAGCAAGTAATGTAATTAGTTCAAATAGTAAAATAAAAGTAAAAATTTAAAAATATAATATGCTTATTGAAAGGCAAACATAGTTCTGAATTTATCGATTTTAGTTCTAATCGGGTTCGGATATTATCGGTTTCAGATCTAATCGGTTTCGGATTTTATCGGTTTCGGGTATTATCGGGTTCGGATCTAATCGGTTTCGGGTTAAATCGGTTCGGATATTATCAGTTTCGGATCTAATCGGTTTCGGATTTAAATCGGATATGAATTATTTAGTTCGGTTTCGGTTCGATTCGGATCATTTCGGGTTTTCGGTTATAGATCGGATCTTCATTTTTCGGGTCATTCCAGTTTCGGTTTCGGATATTTCGGTTCAGGTAATCGGTTCCGGTTCTGTTTTGCCAGGTCTAGTCATAATATACTCCATCCCTAAAAAAAGACTCATTTTTTGCTTTTTGGGCGGTTCACGAAAAAGGCTCCTCTTTCTTTTTTCAAAAATTTTGAGTGGTTCACAATCTTTCTCACACTTCTGCATCACTTTCAACCACATACTTTTACTTTCCTTAAACACTATGCCAAGTCAAACTAGGTACTTTTTTTAGACAAAAGAAGTATTAATATATGAAGAAAGCCACTTTTTTTTAGTAATATTACTCCCTCTGTCCCTAAATATTTGCCACACTTGTATTCTCGAGACAAAATATTAAGTTTTTTCAATTCATTTTATTTACATATTGGTATAGAAATAAAAAATAAAATTTACATATCAAAAAACTACATGAAAAGTTCTTCAAATAAGAGGTGTCAAGAATATTTTATTTTATCAAATAACCAATGAAAACATAGAAATAAACAAAAGTTTCCGCGACTGCTGAAAAAACAAACGTTGCAAATAATTTGGGACGGAGGGAGTATGTCTTTTTTGGGAAATAATATTATGTTTTTTCCCATAAAAAAGATAGCAAGCCACTTTGCCAAAAAAACTCCAAAAAAATAAACTTGTCCCTTAATTTGAGAGTGGAGAGTTGAGATTTATCTCTCTCTCTCTCATATACCAAAACTTTCTCATATTCTCTCGCAGTCTCGAAATTATTTACTCTTTATACAAGACGTTGTCTCACAAAATTTTTCTAATTTTGACTTTAAAAATTTTAAAGGAAGTGTATATTGGTGTTGACTTTCCAAAAAAACTCTTGGATGTGATGGATAAATTAATAGTGAAAAAGTGTGATGTGATAGTTAGGTTAAAAATTAGTATGAGTATAAGTGATTTTTTAATAAAAATGAGAAATATTTTTTGGGACGGATGAAAAAAGAAAGGAGAAAGGTTTTGTGGGACGGAGAGAGTAGTAAAATTTTATGTTTTTTCAATTCATTTTATTTAAAGATTGGTATATAAATAAAAAAATAAAACTTATATATTAAAAAAATTATCAAAAGTTCAACAAAACAAGAGGTGACAAGAATTTTTTATTTCATCAAATAGTCAATGAAAGCACACAAATAAATAAACAAAAGTTCTCGTGAAGTTCGAATAGTAAAATGCGTCTGGTAAATCATTTACAGATGAAGGGAGTACGAGTAATAATAGTCCTTTGAATAAAACCATAACAACAAAGTTTGGAGCAAATAACTATTTCATTATACTCGGAGGGACAGAGGGCAATATATCTGAGTGCCCTTTTGTAAAAAAAGGATGAGCCTCATTCCTGAAGGTCCCATCAGATCCTGTCGGACGGTCACTGAGAGGAGGTAAATTGGATATTAATCGCAGATTAGTGGCAAAGAGTGAAGCCTGCATCTGATACTTGCAGAGGCACTAGCTATGCTTATCTGAGTGCCCTTTTCTAAGTCCATAGAGAGAGGTATTGAGAGTGTTGGAAAGAAGTCTATGGAGGAGATATATTTGAATAAAGGAATATACTCCGTATATAATACCTTTTCTTTTTCTCTTTTTTCCCCGTGGAGAAGTGAATAATAATATGATGTCCTTTTGTGGACGTTGAAGCCTAATTATGCTTTCCCATCCAATGGTTCATATCGCTGCAATATCTTCTGGTGTACTCAAAGTGGAGTTCCGAGCTAGCTCTAGTGAAACTGCAAAAAGTTAACATTCATTCATTCATTCTTTCATGCTGTGTTTTGTATATGATGTGAGTGAAAGTCAGATATTGATCGAGAAAGCTATATCTATCTAAAGTCAGTGCATATATGTTAATGATGAGGCTTGAATGGATTGAATTGATTGATGGTGCTTAACATTATACTCTTAATGATATGATGGAACATATGATGCATGCTCTAGCAGTCTAGCTCATTTGATCTTCTTAAAGTCAAATTCACTCGTGGGCGTTGTGCAAATGGCAAATGCAATGAGTGCCAAAAGGATAAGACTTGTGTTCGATTCCTAGCCACTGAAGGTACTAGGTGCAGACTTCACTCTTTACCACCAATCTGCGATCCCACTCCAAATTAATTACCTTTTCTTAGTGACCGTCCGACTGAGTTAGACCTCGGGGATGGGGTTATCCTTAAAGTTCAAATTTTTATGTAGTTCCACCTTGTTGGATAGACCAACTAGTATATTTAAAATTTGTTTAGATGAGAAAATATTTTAATTTACACTAAAGTCTGTGTTAAAGAAATTGGCACGGAAAACTTTTGCTCACAATAAGTAATACTCCCTCCGTCCCTAAATCACTTACCATTTACGCAAAATGAAGTAAAATCCTAATTTTTTTCAATTCGTTTTATTTAAAGATTAGTATTTAAATAAAAAAATAAAACTTACATTTTTAAAAAGTACATAAAAAATTTTACAAAACAATAGGTGACAAAAACATTTTATTTCATTAAATAGTCAATGAAATCACACAAATAAATAAAAGTTTTCGTGATTTTTGAATAATAAAGTATGTAAATTATTTAGGTACGGAGGAGTATAATAAGATTGCCTCCAACACTGAGTGGCGCCACATAAGCTTTTTACTCATCTTTCCGACGAACACTTCTTACCATCAACACTATTATATCCATCTTTCCCACATGCACCATCATTAAGTAATTCCACAATCATAAAAAATTAATAATAAATAAATTAGATAAATGCTTTTTATCAAAAATAAATTAAATAAATAATACTCCAGTAAAATTATACTGCATATGTGAATAAATAAATAATTACGTACGGACGTTGGACAGGCAGAAGGAACCAACGCTGCATCTCCAGCGGGCTTCCACGCGGACACGGGCTGTTGACGGATCATGGGATGTAGATAGTTAAGTAATACTCCCTCCGTCCATAAATAAACTTCCCACTTTCCTTTTTCGTCCGTCCACAAATAAACTTTCCATTTCCTTTTTTGGAAACTTTTTTATAACAAAAAGACTTAATTACCCCTGCCCATCCACTCTCTTTTCTTTTTTTTCTTCTTTCTCTCGCCACATCCCCCACTTCTCTTTCTTCTTTCTTCTCCCTTTTTTCTTTTATCCTCTCCTTTTGATTTCCCCAATCTTCTTCGTTGTGTTTCACCAACTCTTCTTTTTTTCTTTCTTTTCTCTCTCTTCTTCTTCTTCTTTCATTTCTTTTCTTCTTAATTCTTTTCATTTCTTCTTTTTCTTCTTCTTCTTTCAATTCTGTTTTCTCCCTTCTGAATTTGTTCCACCCACTTGGTTTTCATCTTTTTTTTCTATTTTTTCTTCTCTTTTCTTCTTCCTCTAACCATCTTCCTTCCGATCTGGTAGCTCTTGTTTCTTCTACGTTTTTTCTTTCCATTTTCTCCTTTCTTTTCTTCTCCAGATCTGAGAAATCTAATTCAGATCTGTGAAGAATTTTCTTCAAGTCTTCAAGTCTTCTTCCCACCTCTGATTCTTCACCAGCTAGAACAAGATGCTCGAATTGAGTCTGAAAGGGTGCTCGCCAGAATTATGTCGTCGGAATTTCTCCCTGAAGATGCTGTGGGATTGGCGCTGGAATTTTTTCCGGAATTTCTCGCAAGTCACCCGAATCTGTGCTTGGTTATCTGATTGAAGATGCCGGGGGGATGGTGAGAGTGGGTGACAGAACCAATTGATGGTTCATGGCGGTGGAGAGGGAAGATAGGGGTGAGGGTATAATGGGAAAGTCAACACAATTTTCATCACACATAAAATTGCGTGCCCGGTCAAACCGGGAAGTTCTTTTTTGGACGGAGGGAGTAACTAATACTCCCTCCGCCCCAAAATGTAACTAACATCATGCTAAACGAAGTAATTTATTAATTTTTGCAATTCATTTTATTTGAAGAATGACTTACAAGTAAAAAATAAAACCTACATATTTAAAAACTACGTCAAAAATCTACAAAACAAGACGTGACCAGCATATTTTATTTTAACATATAAACAATGAAAGCACAAAAATAAATAAAAATTCTCGTGATTTTTAAATAGAAAAATGTTGTAATTTTTTAGGGACAGAGGAAGTAAATAAATACAAACTAATGTAATTAGTTAAATAACCTACTCCACCATTTGTAACATTCCTACTCCTTCAGAGCATGAACAATAGCAAGTTGTATACTGGAATGTCGCACACTGACATGACAATGCTTAACCAATCAAAGACAATCCTAGTCACATAGTGGCATGATATTTGAGTGGCATGTCGTGCGACATGTCATTATTTTTTTCTCCATTTACATTTTTGATATATTTTAATCATTTGATTTTACTTTCTGTTTAACTCAATACATTTAACTTTAGTTTTTATAATTATTTTTATCTAGTATTTTGTTTTAAAAATCAAAATTCTACTCGGTATAGTTTAGTTATTCAAAATTAGTCTAGTTATCTATTTGAAATTAAAAATAGAGTACAAATTATTTTTCAAAGTGCAAAGGGAAGGACTTTTGCTGCTGATTTTCTATTCCCTATTTGAATATATAGAAATTTAAAATACAGTACAAACTAAAGCTAGAGTACAAATTGAGAAAAGATCAGTAAACAAATTGTAGAAAATAATAAAGGTAGAATATATTTCTATATTGGAAAATAATAAAGGTAGAATATATTTCTGTATTGAATTGTCTTTTAAATGCAATGATCTAATCCTCTTTGAGCCTGTTTGAGAATAACGTTAGCGATTAGCATTAACGTTTTGAAAAGGCTATCTACGGACATCGTTTAGCGTTAGCGTTTTCAATGTAATCTGTACCGTTAAAATTTTATCCAAAACGTTAACGCTAATCTCTATTGCTATTCCCAAACAGGCCTTTTATATAGGAAGAGGATAAAGCAAACAAGAAAATTTGCATTCCTACTAAAACAAGAATTAAGCACACTAGGAAAGTTCTTAAACCAAATCTTAAAGAGATTTGGTTTCTTTCTTCTAATATCTCACGCCAACACCCCTCCCCAAGCTAGAGCATGGGGATTCTGAATGCCCAGCTTGGACAAGACATAATCAAACTATCTTTGTTCAAGTGTTATCTGAACACTTCAACAAATAAATTTTCTTCTTTTTTTGATGGAGACGCCGCTCTTTTCGAATCCATCGAATAATCAATCGCGTAAAAGAACGCCGTTCTTTTCAAACCTTCATCCAATTCAAACGAACAAGATGAGCGCCATTCTTTTTAAACATCTTGACCGCTATTTTTTTTAATTTTCGCCTTGAAGAGATTGTCCTCATTCTTTAGAACAACTCTTGTTGGACGATTTCTTCATGACTAGAGACTGCAATTCCTTAGCAGTCATGTTCTTTGCCAAGAAGGAACAACCATATGTCATACGGATTTTATGGACGGCGTGCAATGGCGGCAGACTCTAGCGTAGTTACGGAGGTTGCCATGGCAGTCGAGGCTAACGTAGATGGTGTTATGCCGGTCGAACACAGCAAATAGACGCGCCTAACAATTATTTGGTGAGAAAAAAAATAAAAGATCATGATATCCCACCGGTAGGCATTGAAGTGTGTACGCCCACTAGCAGGAGATCAGAGTGAAAACATGTTTGAGGTCTCAAAAATCGAAAACTTGTTCCGATACCATGTAGAAATTAATAAAGGGAGAATATATTTATATATTGAATTGTCTTGTGAATACAATTATACAAAAGAACATCCTCTTCATATAGGAAGAGGATAAAGCAAACAAAGAAATTTTTATTCCTACTAAAACAAGAATTAAGTAAACTATGAAAGATACTAAACCAAATCCTAAAGGGATTCGGTTTCTTTCCTATAATACGCCAACACCAATCAAAGCAATGGAAGAGTGCTTCTTTTGTTACAGTGGAAGAGTGATTCTATTTTGCTGAAACAAATGGTTTTTGCCACTTCTGTTTGCCTCGCACTCGCAACGGAAATCATAGTGACACGAAACATGCCATGCAACCCAATTTGTACTTCGCCCATTTTGTTGCTTTCCTCTCCATGAATGGCAAGGCGTGCCCAGGTAAAACTTCACCGTTGCCAATGCTCTTAGAGTACTACATTTACTTCAAGGTGGAAGCTCTGACTTGTGCTGTTGGACTGGAGACAAAATGCCAAACAAAAGATGTCACCTCTGATCTCTTGTATCCATTCTTCGATACATTTTCTTGCTCAAAACTAGTGATGGAAATATGGCACAAGACCAAAGAGGCAAAAATGTCTTTAATTACTCCTATTGGAATTAGGTACATACTCCGACTCGAAAACATCAGCGAGGTCAAACAACTTAATGATGTCATATGAAACTAAGTTGCCCCCTTGCTTAAAGTATTCATCCGCCATTTTTTGATGAAACGAAAGAATGAGGCAAAGGGCTATTTGTTATGGTGACGCTCTTCATAGTATTCTATTCAACCTCATCAAAATTCCCAATTTGTTAAGTAGAGTAATAAAAATCGATTTTAAATGTTCACGGTGAACCTATGGTCTCACGACGGGCGATAAAGCACTTTTGATCAATTCTTTTGGACGTTTGCGACTGTGATATGTCCTGATTCTTTTGTTTCTTTTTTTTTGTGTTCAAATGGATGAGAACATCAATTGATACAAATATTGTAATCCCTCCTTTTCACATTAATCTTCTTGATTGGATTTGACACAAACTTTAAAAAAATGAAATAGAGTGATTGAAAGTGATAGAGATGAGAGAAAGATAGTGAGCCACAAAAAACTTCCCAATAGAGGAAACATGCAACTTTTGAGACGGATGAAAAAAAAAAGAAACGTTTTATGGGACGTAGGGAGTAATTATCATGCACGCGGATCCATAACTGAAGTAGATAGCCCATACATTTAGGCAGAAACACTATTCACAATTTCATCCTAATTTTGTATATAGTTTGATATAAAGGGGTGCAAAGTGAAATAATTCTAAGTAATGCCTTAGGGTGCAAAATATCAAAACTAAGATGAAATGTCAAATGCAAATGGGGTACAAACAACTTTATTCTTCCTATAGCATTTTCGGGAATCCAAACATACCCCAAAGTTTTTCATATATATGAAAGAAAAACATTTTGAAGGAAAAAAAAATGATAATAATGTTGAATAAGCTAGAATGAAACGTAGAAGAAACAAGAACCACTCAAATCTTTCACTTGTTCAAAAATGGTGGTGGATATGCCATATTCCAAACTTCCAATCAACCAAACAAGCTTTTTCACACTTTTGTATGTGCTTTTTTTCCAGCCTCTACAAACTTTTACTGATTCAGTGTAGATTAAACCTAATTAAATAAGGTGTATTCCAATGGCTTGATAGTGGGGAGTGGTGCTTTATTTGTTTGGCTGAAACTATCATATATGTAAACTTTTATCTGGTCTGGATTCTTCTACTTCTTTCTTCACCCAACTGGATATAGTGCTGCTAGCTGTTAACAAGGACTAGACAGCAAAATCCATTTATACAAGTGGTTTGATTTCAATGGCTAATCAAGTACGGAGTAATTTTTTTCAATCCAAAGAAAGAGACTCCTCCTATACATGTAGGCCATGCTCATGACAGTTTTATGTTGCTTGTGGGCACTAATCATTTTTCTTTTTTCATTATGGTGTCTCTCCCCCCTAGACCATGCATTGACATTGAGGGAAGGTACACCAAATTTAAAAAGTGTTGTTAAAAATGAAATACAAAACTATACTCCATATTATATAAAGAACTTATAATACACCCTCTGTCTGGATTTAACCTTCTCATGTGACTTTTTACGTTCGATCTCTAATGTAATACTTTGACCGTTAATATAATACTCCCTCGTTCTAAAATTAATTTTCCATTTGACTTTTTACGGTCTTCAATGCAACACTTTGATCATTATAAAAATAAAATATTTCAAAACTATGTTTCAAAATCAATCTGTTGATATTAAATTTATATGAAAATTTAATGCATTTTTTTTGCAATAAGTTTAAAAAAACTAGTGATATTACATTTATATTTAAACATAATGTATTTTTCCATATATCCAGATCAAAGTTTAGAAACTTTGACTAAAAAAGTCAAATGCGAATATTAAATTGATAAGAACTAAACTAGGAGGAAAATATTAGAGAAGGTATCAAAATATAAGCTTCATTTTTTTAACTCCAAAATAGGAGTACAATGTCAATCATGTTAATATACACTACCAAAAAATATAGTGCAATTCCATTATACCTTCCATTTCATTTTTTTTAAAAAGGAATGATAACAGTATTTTGGGATAACTAATAAAGAAAATTGAGAAGTTTATTTTAGAAAATAGAAATTAAGTACTTCATTCGTTCTAAACTTAACTTTTCGTTTCAGTTTAGAAGATTTCATTAACTTTAATTTCATTTCAATTTATTTGATTATAAGTGCAAAAAATTTGAAAATAAAATTTATATTTTAAAAACTAAATAAAATGTACAACAAAACTAAAAGTGATATGACTATATACTCCCTCTGTTCTTAAAAGATTGTCACAATTTAATTTTTGTCAAACTGTGGCATTATTTTACCACAAGTTAAATATAGTTTAAAATAATAAAATATTGTAAAAATTTGAAATTTCAAAATTATTTTTTAAAATGAACTCAATTTTACTGAATTTACATTATAATTAAATATATTTTTTTTTATTTATGGCCAAATGGTGTCACAGTTTGACATGAAAATTAAATTGTGATAATTTTTAGGAACAGAAATAATATACGGAGTACTATTTTGTAAAATTTGCACTAAATAGGACTAAAACATAATGACTTTTCCAATGTAGGACTTAAACTTTTTTATTCCCTAAATAGGACTTAATAATGACCTAGTGGGAAGAATAATGTCTAGTAATGATGGACATTTACTTGAATAATGACTACTTGATAATGACCAAAAGTCCTACATTGAGAAAT